AAATAAATAAATAAATAAATAAATAAATAAATAAATAAATAAATAAATAAATAAATAAATAACCATCAATTCATATTAAGTGCAGACTCATATTTCATCATTATTCCATCATTATTCCAATAATCGTGTGTTACAACTAATGTTAGCTGTTTTTTCCTTCGTGATTCAAGCCCTACCCAAAGGCTTGGGAATTGTTATTATTATGATATCATTAGTGTGGCTATTATTAGTATTACTGTTAGGGATCTTGATGACCCCATCCTAAGACCCAAAAACCCTTCTGACCACTTCTGTTTTGACAGTTTTCCTGAAGGTCAGGAGGCTAGGCACGATCAGGTGGGAAGCTGGAGTGCTGCTGAGGAACCCTCAATATTTCTACCCAGGACACGTGTGGGATTCACTTGAAACTGACCATTCCATAGACAGCCAAGTAGCAAATCATATAGGGCTTTATGCAGCAATGTACTGCTAAATGTTTAACATCTGGCTTTGCTGGCTCCATTGCCACTGCTGCACTGCTAGCCACAGAACAGCAGATTGGCATGCTAGGTATCGAGGCTCACCTCTGCTGTCAACTGGCTCACAGAATTCCAGAAAATTTAACAATCTTGTGAGCCGGTATGAGCTGGCTCCAGCACACCACTGGCTTTATGTCATATATATTGATAACATGAAAGTATATTCTTTTAAAAATGCCCCATAAAACTTATATCTGGGCCATCTGCAGGAATTTCTGGGGAAGGCCAGTGTTTGGGAATTCTTATTTGTAGACATCAATCTATTCCAACTAACAAACTATGTTTTATTGAATTAACAACAGATATGGACTGAAGCCTAGTTTGGATTGGGACCATGATCCCAAGACTAAAGGATCAAAACTCTCCTTTCCAGTCATGCTAGGGTCCAGTTGCAACAGGATATCTAATAAGTGTTTCCTGTGCTTATTACTGAACAGAAATGAGGAAGCTGTATCATTAAATGATATGTAGTTTGACTAAATTAATTACTTATCTGTCAAGAACAAACCTGTACACTGCAGAATCAGAGAAACAATCTATTTTGAGACTTTTTAAAAACATATGTGAGTAGGCTTTTATTTATTTTATTTTAATTTTCTGTTAAAACCTAATTACCTTTGTCATAATCCCTAGTATCTAATAAAAAAAGAACATTTATTTTTTTTCTAACATCAAGGTGGTCTAAGCACACTGGCTGGGAACTTGAGATCTTCTGGCATAATACTCTAGTCCCTGTGATAGCAACATTTTATTTGGAAGTGTTCAGTAAACATTCCTGCTTCTTCCCTCCCTCTGCTAAAGCTCGTGGAAAATGGCTGTTGCAATCTATTTCCTCTTATTCGCTTACAGCATTTATACTCCAGACTTCACTCAGAAGACTCCCATGGAAAGGAAAGAAATCTGAAAAACAATCGTAGCAAAGCAAAAAGAGGGTGATGTGAGAAAAGAAAAAACAAGACTATTCTGATTGCAATTCTTAATGCTACAATGATCTTCCCCTCTCCCTTGCTGGGTGGTCCTTAGGGTACAAGCAAGGTTTCTGGAAGGAACTTCTCAGATGGTCTTGCTTTCCTCTCTTCCTTCTACGGTTGGATCCAGGCCACAGGAAGTGTGACAATGAAAAAAGGCAACACATGAAGACATTACTGAATGCTGCTTCCTCCACACTGTATCGTTTACAGCATTAATGGTGAGTTCCTCAAAATGCTACAAAATAAAAACCTAATCAATGGTTCTTCACTGATAATGAATTACCTTTCACTAGGCATGAAGGTACAGGTATGAAGTGACGGGGCGTAATTTTGATTTAAACCTTTACGTGACACATAGTGTGGGTTGCTTGAAGACCACACTTTTAAAGTTCATTTCAATCAAGAACATGGCCTTTGCACACACAAGCAAAGCCGTTAGTCAAGCTGGGGTCATCTGAACTGTACTATATTGATGGACATTTAGTTGCCATTGCTTGAAACAGATTCTTTGGAATTTAAATTTCCAAATTCTCACATGGCTGACTCCAACAGGTTTGCTTTTAAAGTTATGTCTTCTGAACTGCAAGTTTAATAAGAAACTCCTTATAACAAATTAAATAGCAAAGATATGGTTATAACTCCCAGTTTTGCAGTGCCATACATGCCTTGACATGCCCCCACTTTATTTCAGTAAAGGTAATCTGTGTTTGGATCATTGTTTTGTGCTTATAAGCAACACTGCAGAAATATCACATTTGTTATATGCACATTATCAAAAATATCCTGAAGTAGTGCAGAAAGCATAAATAAAATTAAGATCAGCTTATATTATAAATCATCTGCTGGGAATCTTCATGGAAAACATAGTGGTTTGCAATGTTGATTCAGTGGTATAATATACAAATACATTAGGTTTCGGGATGAATATGTGCTATTGTACTGTTGAGCTCAGTGACATTTAGACTGACAGATGGGATCAAACTGTTTAGATGTTTAGATCCATTTTCAAAACATGGTAACCATAAACAAACCTCAATGGCTGTTTTCATACAATGCACTAAGCCATAATGTGGTTTGCTTTTTTTAGGTTAATGTCTTGTATGAGGTCAGTCCAGATTGCTTGTTGATCCAGATTCTGTACTTTGAAATTTGTTCCCCTAAACACATATGTGTGAAATTGCCTTCAAGTTCTCTGTTGTATTTCAAAAAATAGTATTTATTTCAGTTATGCAGATGATAGCGCATCATTTAAGCATACAAGTGATCATAAACATCTGGCAGAACCTTTTTTTTTTTTTAAAAAGTGCAATTTTAAAAAGAGAAATACTGAATATACAAAAACAGATTAGAAGAAAAACAACACCCAACCAATTAATTAACAAGTTGGATGGCCAATATATTTAAATAAATAAAAATAAATAAACAAATAGTTATGAAACTGTAATACCAAAAGAAAAATTAAAATTAAAAATTAAATAGTGCCACCCCCAAAATTAACATGCTGAATTAATATACAGTAAATCACCTAAACATGTCACATACAGTATTTATTTAATCATATCATAACTATGTACCAAATTGTGCATAGACATGTGTCTATTCTTGTAAAATACTATGACAACTATGCCAAAGGGAAATATATTGTGTCATTTTTTGATTAGTGGACAAAATAGCTGTTTCAAAAATGGATAAATAACACATTTCTTGACTTCAGTCTTTAATATCCAGGGTAACAGTACTTTTTCCAATCTCTCAGTATAATTCTCTTGGCAATTCCACAAGTTCCATATAACCAGTCAGGCAGAACCCTTATTCACATATGATGTGATGTCATTGCACAAATGATGTGAATTATGTAATTTCTGCCAGTCGTGTCATGATTCAAGTCTTGTACAGTATACTATTTGCACAATGACAGTTGACAAGTGGGATGTCACTTGCCCTTCCCCCATGGTCTCCCTTTCAAGTTACCACTTTGAAGGTACCATTAGGGTGTGATGTGAAGAACTTGGGAGTCATGAAAGAGTTGGATCTCTTTCCCTTCTTTAGATTCTCAGCGTATGCTCTCCTTCCTCTGCGTGATCCTGGGTAGGAACCCCAGAATAATGCAGCAACAAGAAATGCATTTGAATAATTTGAGCATTCAATGTTGACTTTTGTTTGCAAGGATCATGTTCTGAAAAATAAAATGGAACCTAAAGGGCAAATGAGGATTGTTCAGAGCATATGTTCCTGTTTACTGGACATACTACTTATCTTTATATCTAGAATATTGTTCTGGCAAAAGAGAATAAACATTTCCCCTGATGAGAACTCTGATGAGAGCCTTGCGCTGTTTCAGTGATGTCAGGATGACACCTGCGGAGAAGCAAGCCAGGTCGCTTTAGCTGACTGCTGGTCCTTTTTTTTCCCCTCCTCAATACATTTGTTACTTCGCTTTTATTTATGCTGACTGAGACAAAGGATCATTCTTTGTTCAGATAAGACCTTGGCATCCTTTTGCTATTTCTCTTTCTCCTCTCCCCCTCGCCCACCCATACACACTTGTTAAGTTAGTTGCCTATATACGCTAGGTTGTCTACATATGGCATTCCTGCAGAGGAAAGGAAGTGGGGAAAAGGCCAATTTGTATTAACCCTGGGGTTTTGTTTCCTCTGGATCCTCAGGCAGAGACCTGCTTTATCAGTATAATGAACTTTAGGTTTCATAATGTGGAGAAACCAATTTACATGTCGACTCAAAAGTCACCAAGGCTCTGTGATCCTTGAATATATGAAGCAGGGATCAATAATTTTTATTACAGGCCCATTTATAATACAGACATCCTAGAGCCAAGGAGGAAGTATGCTGAATATATGATGGGAGCACACTTGGGGTTTTTCACTTATACCAAACTACTAATTCAATTTCTTTCACAGAGGATCTGGTCTTCTTATTAACCCAACTGTCAGTGTGTCCATGATTGAGGGCAATGGACCAAAGAACCAATGCCCTTTTATGGTACTCCCTTCCTTCCTTCCTTCCTTCCTTCCTTGTACCCATCAAATTTTTCCCAGGATTTTTTCTTGGCATAAAGATTATAACAAAGTTACTGTAATAAGAATGGGAAATATTACTAAGTCTCAGTTCCGTGTTGATGCAATATGGTTCTGTATAATGACTTCATACTGCCATCATGTTAACAATGCCAGCAAAATTCTGGCATTGTATTCTAAATGTTGTATTTTTAATTTAGTCTATATCAACATATCTGTATAAGTTCTCTGGGCAGCTAACAAAACAAAGATAAAAAATCTGTTGCCTCTTCTGAGGGTTCTAGGTCAAATACACATGAGTGCATAGAAATTAGGGATATGATATGCAAAATGCTGCTCATATGAACCATTCCATGCAAGAAACAGCCAGCTTTGGACAGGCTGTGTCTGTCATAATATTTCTTTTGAGGAGTGGGGGAGGAGCAGAAAAAAAAGGCTGTTATACAGCCTTGTATAAGGGGAAAAAGGGGGTTGAGAAGCCTGGGGAGAAGCAGGTAGACCAGTTGGGTATGCCACATTTGAAATTAAGCATGGTGAATTAAGCATGGTGAATCTAAGGATGTCAAGGAAAGATCAGTGAGGAACTGGCACATAATCCATGTGGAGGAGGAGGGGAGATGAGTGAGGCACCCCCAGCTTTGCTCCCTGTAAGATTCCTACAGAGTTTGTCTCAGCTGAAACCTGGAACAACCAGAACAATTTACTGAGAATGATTTGACCCAACTTACCAGCCACCATGTTCATGTTTCATAAAACAAAATACATTTTCTGTTTTGTGGGCACTCTTAATATAAGCCTGGTGGGATCAAAAATTGGAAAATTATAGGGTAATTATGCTGATGAGGAATGGATCAACACAGAGAGACTAGCTCTTTCTTAATTGTGCCTGCTGAGTTATCTGGGATGCAGGATATTGGGAGGACACTTGGAAGGAAACAAGACATGTAACTCACTGGTCACTGGGACTGAGAACAGAAAACAAAACAACAACAAAAGTAGCCTCTAGCAGCATGTCTAAATTCACGTCATCGCACTTTGGGGGACAATGAAGTAATAGGAATAAAAATGATCACAAGCTATCAACTTGTGAGATTGGCAATATCCCGTATGGCTTGTGCTGTGTGTGTGATGGATCAGCATACCTGCCTCTTACAAATCATCTGTTCTGGGCAGAGCCCTTTGATTGATACCCTTTCCAGTATTAAAATATGCTGCTTCCAGTATAAATGCATCCTTCCCATACATTTAATTTTAGATAAAAAAATAGGTTTAGAAAAAGAGACCAGAGAAATTCCCCCCCCCCCCCCC